CAGGATTTGTCTTTTCTAGAAAGATGGGAATGCTATAAAAATGTGTACCTGTATTGAGCTGCTTGGACCTTCTGTTCTTTAAATGAGGACAGGCTAATTTGGGGCCCCATGAAGTGGTTGTGAGATCAGAAACAGACGTCAGGGTTACAATTTATAACCAGAAAACTTAATGTAGAGCAAGCCAGCCCTACCGGTTCACCTTCAGTGTCTAAATTCAGTGTGTAATATTTTTGAACCTAAACCATTTCTTAGAAAAATGTGTGCATTTACTATTTGATCGGGTTTTCACCTGTATTAGCTTACTTCATCTTCTGTTAAATGGTGGTGATGATGTGTCCTTTCCATTTTACAAGGGAAATTGAAGGTCTGAGAAGTTGAGTGTCCTGCTCAGCAGGGTTAAACAGCAGACTGACTTTCCGGGCAGGTCTCTCTGACTCCGCATTTCATGTCTCACGCTGTTCTGCTCACCAGCCCTTTATACTTTTCTTTTGTATTTTTGGCTCATCCTCTGTGCATCCCACCTGATGGACATCTTCAAGCGTGTCCTTATCTTCTTAAACAGATTTTAAATGTGCAGTTTAAGATTTTCAAAAGAATCTAGCACAATTTTGTGACAGTCACCTTCCCATTTCAACTAAAAGAGTAAACACTAACCCCCTGCTGATTTGAATCACTAGTTACCTGTACTAGACATGTTTGTCTGTTTGCTGAGCGATCTTCTTTTGAGACACCATCCCTCTCCCAACCCATGTGACCTCATTGGACTTGCTAGTCAAGACGCTTTGCCACGTGGTTGACCACAATATTCTGTCCACCACCCAGTTCAGGGTTGACCGTGTGACTCAAGCAGAACCAATCAAAATTTTTCTTGACATTTGATGTATGAACACAGGAAGACAGAGGCTCTTTCTTTCCAAATGAAAGTCATAAAGGTACAGCCTTGGTGATTCTGGCAGTCACTTTCCTGATCAGTTTTCTGAAAATAAATGCATTTGAGAGAGAGAAAGAAAATTCCCCAATAATATCTTACATGTTTCTGGATCTAATCCTGCTTAAAGATACTTCTACCCCCCGAATTTTTTCTTTTTTACTTAAGTTGAAATAAATTCCATTTTTAGCTTAAAAAAGGTAAAGAGGATTATTTGTTTATATCTAGAACTTTTAAATATGTATATTTAGCATAACTAGTGGAAACGTTTATTAATATAAAATCTCAATATACAGAATTCTTCCTAAGGTCTGTAGTCTTAGTAGATTTTAGTGTATAGTTGTCCTTTTCTAGCCTATCTGAAAGCATAACGTTAGTATCTTTACCTCTGGACTTGCAGCAGCCTTGGAAGGATGCTGACACTGACTGGTCCATCAGGCTTATCTTGGATGGCTGGGGAGAAGTAGGTTGTGGGGTCAGAAGACTGCTTCAGTCTTGACCATCCCATTCATTTGCTAAATGATGTCAAACAGGAATGACACCCCCTTGCTTCACCTGTCAGGTTATAAGAGACCTAAATGAGTTAATGCTCTAAAAGCACTGTGTAAACTTTGAAGCACTCTGAGAATCAGGGAAGAATTTCATAAGGATCCAGTGCATAGACACTGATGAAGCAGTCAGGGATGCTGCCTGCATTTTCCAAGTACCTACCGACTAGGCTTAATTTCCATTTTCGTCCTTGCGACTTTGACATAGAAGTAGGAATATCAGTGATCCTGGCAAACCGGTATTTTTAACGGAATTAAAGTTCTTCTTCAGTCTGCAGAGCACATAGAACACACGGTGTTCGACCTCTTTTCTTCATTGCAGCTGTTTTAGTTCTAGTACTTGGAACCATTTCAACTTGGCCACCTCTATTTCAGACTTCCATGTGGAATCTATATTATGCCTTCAGCACAGTATCATCAAAGAATAAGACCAGTATCTACATTTCACTCAACATAGTATTCGTACTGTGAGCCCCCTGAGCGTACATAATAATAGCTGATACGTGTCAGTGGCATCTGTGTGCCGGCACCCTTCAGCCTCTTGTTAGCCACATTTCACAGACGAGGAAATGGAGGCTGCAGAGGGGTAAAGATCGATCACTTTGAGGGGTACTTTGGATTCACAGTTCTGTTACACACCTGCTGGCCTCTGGGAGTTTAGAATCTTCGAGGCGGAGGAAGCAGTGAATTATGCTACAGTGAAGGGTGTGATGGTAGAACATGGCTTCTGTAAACAACTGTTACAGAAGAAAGAAAGGCAATTGAAACGTTGAAGAAAGGCAGTCCTAATGTTTTGCTGGGGGTGGGGTGGTGTTAAGAAAGGGATCACAAGGCAAGTGACATGCATCTGAAGCTTCTAGAGTGTTCTGGCTATTTATTGCTGCTTTACAAACCACCCCCAAACTTAGGGGCTTAAAATAACCACAGTCATTGCTTTTTATCTGTCCTGGTTCTGGAGGTTGACTGGGCTTAGCCGGGCAGTTTAGGGTCTTTTATGAAACTGCAGTCAGATATAGTGGCTAGTGATGGGCTCATCGTAAAGGCTGCTTTATTCACATGTCTGGCATCTGGGCTGAGAAGATTTAAAAAGCTGGGGGTAGAGTAGTTGGGACTTTCTCTGCTATGTAGTCTTTCCTCAAGGTGGCCTCCGAGCACTCAGATGTCTTACATGTTAGCTGAAGTCTCCCAGAGCCAGTATCCCAAGAGAAACCAAGAAGAGCTTCATGGCCCTTTTCTATAATTTAGCCTTGGAATTTGGGGAGCTTCATTTCCATCATGTCTTGTTCACAGAAGCAGTCACACAGGCCCTCCCAAGTTCCGGGGAAATGTTTACAGACTCTGCCTGAAATCTTAACTGGGCCTGGTGATCTGCTTCTGAGCTGGCTTACGTGGCTGTTGGAAGAGGCCTCCGTTCCTCCCTGGCTGGTGGTCAGAGGCCTCAGCTCCCTGCCACACGGACCTCTCCATAGAGCTTCTGAGTGTCCTCTCCACGCGGCACCTCCTGGGGTTTCTCCCAGAGCAGCTGCCACGAGAGAGCAGGGAGGACTCTGTACGGCCTTTCATGACCTGCTCTTGAAGTCGCACACTGTCCTTTATGCCTTAATCTGTTTGTTAGAAGTAATCACTGGCCAGCACCCACCCCTACAAAGGGAAAAGCATTAAACTCCATCTTTAGAAAGGAGGATCAAAGAATTGGTGGCCAGTTTAAATTCTATTCCATATCCTCAAGGCCTTGTCATGCCACCGTCAGTATTTTCTTCAAGCTAAACATCTGAATCACTTTCTTTAATAGATTTCTGGTCTGGCCGTACTCCTGGCTGCTCCCCCTGTGAATTTCATTTTGTTCATAATATTTTTCTAGATACCATTCTTTTCAAACCTATTTTTGCTTATACTTCTCATTTTAACCATCTGCTCAAATTAGAACTTTATAGAATTAAAAGCAGTTAAATAATTGAACTATAGACTTCAAGGTCATATTTGACCCATCTGCATATAAAAGTTTACATTAATAGCAACAGTAATTCTCATTTGACACTTCTATGCTTAATCTAAGTTACCTTTTACTGTGTCCTTCATATGTCCTAGCAGACATATGAATCTCATTTTGCATGTGAGGAAAGGAAACAGGAAGAAAAATTTAAATAATTTATTGAAGATTTCACAGTTTAGAAGTTTCTGACTTTGAATCCTTTGTTCTTACCCTATGTTTCTACCTTTCTTGATGTCAGATGATGGCATCAGTGGACCCTTACAAGGCTAAGTTAGCCAATTGGAGGCTTCAGTTAGGCCTGCAAAATACCTTTATAACCTACCCAAGTTATCAGCTTAAAAAAAAAATCACACCTGGCTTTTTCATTTTTGATTTAGATATTCTGAATAAATGCAAACATTTCAAGAGTACTATCTAGGAAGTAGGTTTTATATTAATTGTGATAAGTGCGTTTATTATTGAGAAACTTTTACGTATTATTCCATTTATAGTATTACATGTTACTGTTACTAAAACACGAATGTGTTCTTCTAATAATATTATGAATTTAGTGCTGTAAGTTCTGTCTTTTAAAGAATCCTTTTAGGGTAGCTTGGGCCAGTCTTTGCTTTGGATCCTATTCAAACCATTAAAACACGAAAGAAGATGAATGGGAGACATATCTTAAAAGTTTCACTTAACTTTTTCTGTGTTATGTTTACTTTTTCTTCCAGAAAATACAAATATTCCCCTTGGGGATATTGAAAGTAATTTTAAGTTTCCAGTACCTCATTAAAATATAAAAGAGTTTTTACTTTTTTCCTTTTGGCTTAAATATACCAATAGTATTGGTGTTGTAGCTTTGAATTGTCTTGTAGTTGAAAATTACATTCTGAATTGAATCTATGCTAGTTTCATTGAGGATACATATTTCTGCCCTATTGTGTGCAAGACTTGGTGCTAGGTACTGAGAATTCAACAAGGAAGCATCTGCTGTCCTCTAAGAGCTTAAGTTCTGATAAAGGGTGTAGATTATTAAAAAGATAATTCCAGTGAATTGGTATTCAGAGAATGGCAAGTAAAGGAACATGTAGGAGGGGCACCTCGTAAGTGAAGAAAGTCTGGAGATGCCAGAAAAGGAAGTGACATCTAAGCAGACTTGTAGAGCATTCTTGGGAAAATAATTTAAGATCTTTGGGTTAAGCTGAATTTTGGCATATATGCTTAGAGTCTAGGTGCTCATTTGATAAATAAAAGATTAGTGCTGTCAGTTGTAATGACAAAACTGAAACTGTTTCATAATGAGTTTGATGTCCTCTGTTCAAGGGGAGATAATTCATGGATTGGTGGGGTGCAGTGCCTCACTGGCAGTGGAACTCTTGCTGCTGGATTTAGGGCAAGAGTGAGTTTTAAAGAATGTTAGAGTAGGAGCCAGGGAAACAGGGCGTGATTGGCTGGGGGGTTGGGGTGAGCAGGCCCTGTTTTCTAGGGGAAGGTGAGCTCCCTAAGGTGAGCGGGAGGATTATGATTGGTGTATATGTTCAGTTTCTTTGCTGGTGCCTCCCTAAGTGTTGGCTGACTTCAGTTTAGATTTGTGACGTGGGCTGGACCTCTGGTGCAGCCTGACAGATGAAGTAACTTTATCACATTGAAACTATAAAATTTAAATCCGTTTTACTTTGCATTTAAGTTTTCCCCCCTCATATTTGTCATTTATTAATTATAATTAGAACATTCAAAGGGTAAAATATTTTTAAAAATAGGAAAAATGTTGAAAGTACCTACTGGGGAGGAGAGCCTTTCTTCTACCCACTTAGGCCGGAATGGCTGGTCTGGTGCTGATACTAATCATTGATCACTTAGGAAACTGAAAGCCAATTCCATGATTAATAAATAGATTGGGAAGTCTAAGGTGCTGTTGTATAATCTTTTAAAAATCAATCTACTCTCTATTTTTTATTTTTGAATTAATTGGGAAGATTTGTTAAGGACCTCTTCTGTCAGTTGATGGTTGCCCGAATCACTAAGTAATTTGCATGTGTTTACAGGGGAAGATCCAGAGGAAAGACGCGGACAGGTTCTAATCCTTCTAGTAGAGCAGGCCCTTCGTTTCCATGACTACAAAGCTGCCAGTGTGCATTGTCAGGAGCTGATGGCCACAGGTGAAGTAGACACTCACTTAACACTTTGCTCATGTCCTCTTTACATAATGAATAATGGAAAAGTTCTGTTTTGAAATCAGTTGGCCTAATTGGTAAGCCAGCCACATTGTGTTCCTAAGTCTTTAGAAATATTTTGGGAGCCCTGATAAGCATGTATTCCATATGCCTGTATATTAATGTGAATACTTTAATGGGCTCAAAGGTTATATTTTATCTGAGATTTTGGTTGCTTTCCATTCCATATTAAAAACACTTACAATCATAGTAACAATTTTATGTAAAATATTTTAACATCTTTTTATGTATTTGGTATATGAAAGAAAATTTAAGATTTTTTGAAGCATCTACAATTTGTGACTATAAATTGTCAATATTTCTATTCTTTTTTCTTTTTTGAAGATAACATAGTGCTTTTCAAATTAATGTTGAGAAACAGAAATAGTTTATAGGCCTCAAATTTTCCATATTGAAATTATAATTCAAGTTTCTGGAGGATAAGCAGGTTTTGTTGTGGAGTAATTTTTCTGTTAAAGAACACCTTCCCCAGAGGGGTAGGAAGTGGTGGTGTCGTATCATAGGCTCTGTACTAAATGATCTGCCTTTTGTAGCTGTGCCTGATTATCTGAATGCTCAGGCACATCTTTTTCCCCGCTGTCTGTGCACTCCTGGTGGGTGGTTACAAATGCAGGGCTTCAGTTCATGGTAACTCCTGGAGTTGTGCACTTAACGATTTGTATACTTTCTGTATGAATACTGTTAAAGAAAAAATTATGCTGACACCGTTAAAAATCGTAAGGAAGACTTTGTTCAGGATTTCTGCAATAGAGGAGAGAGATCAGGCTCAACTCCAAAGACAGAGAAGACATTTATAGCTGAGGAGCAGAGTCATGGGGCCACTGGCTGAAAAACTAGTGAAGAGACGTCAAGGGTGGGGGATTCTCACTACACTGACTGAGTGCGGGTCTTGCTAATGGCAGGCCCGGGCGACCAGGTATCAGGGGTGAGAGGTTTTCTCTCAACTGACTTGGTGAAACTACAGGCTCAGCAAGGACTGGACCACAGAACAGGCCTCGTTGAGAAGAAGGCTCAGAGAAGCCTGGCTACACTTTGGTCAAGGAGAGAGTCTGCAAATGTGAAAAATTCTGGGAAAAAGCTCAGTGCTTTATAACCTCAATTTTAGAACATTCAATTCATGAAGAAACCGTGTTCTGTAATATTAACCTAGTGATTTTGCAACATTAAGCTCAGAGTAATTATGGTATTATGGAAAATCATTGTTGTCTTAACTTTTTATCATTTATTTGGACAGCTTTGTAATAATTTTATTTTTGTAAGGATGGTACCTTACATCGGGCTGAGGTCTTTGTACTTGGGAAAAAATCCTACTTTCTAACCGGAACTCTTTCAAAGAAGAATAGAAGTACAATTTAAGAATTCAGAGTATGAGCTTGTGTTGGAAAAAGCTCTCTGCTGGGAGCCAGGGACTGACTGTATTTTTGGCACTGACCTTGGATCTGTCTTCATCTATAACATGAATGATTCTGTGCAGCTGTCTATGATAATTTCTCTTTTTCTGGCACTTTGCAGTTTATAAAGTGCTTTTAAATACAGATTGTTTTTAATTCTTTTAACAACCCAATGAGGGAGATGATATTATTATTATTATTACTAGTAGTAGTAGTAGTAGTAGTAGTAGTAAAGGAAGTGTGATACTTGGAACTTTCTCAAGCTCACACAAGTATCTGGGCCATACCCTCAAGCCTTTGTGAATTCAGATAGCCAGTTTTTTTACTCAATATCAAAACTAGGTAGATTATTTATAGTCATTATCAGGTAATCTAAAATTTAACATAGTTTATCAGAAAAACTTGTCTGGAGCAGTGCTGAACTTTCTGGATAATTCACCTAACCTTTCTTTTCTATTTTACATCCTTAGTGTCTCTGCTTATATAGTCATGTGTTGTCACTAATGATTGACTTTGCTTTGGGAACATAAGACCTAAGCAAAAAGCCATTACGTTTCTCATGTAAAATTAAGATTTTTCTTTTTTGAATGAAAATCAGCTTGTTTTTATCCTGCCCATTTTCCAGGTTATTCTAAAAGTTGGGATGTCTGTAGCCAGTTAGGACAGGCAGAAGGCTACCCGGACTTGGCCGCGCGCCAGGAGCTCATGGCATTTGCATTGACACATTGCCCTCCTGGCAGCATCCAGCTTCTCCTGGCTGCTAGCAGCTCTCTGCAGACAGAAGTAAGTGCTTCCAATAGAGTCAGTCCTGACCTGTGTGAAGTATATTTTATTGGGCCTGCGGATCTGAGATTTGTGATCATTTTTTCCCAATAATATGAAAATTTTAATTTATGGAAGAAAAATATCACTCATATGAAAAGGGATTTGAAGATACTAGGATATAAATTAGTATTGTTGGCTTTATTACAGTAAAGAAGAAAGGATGCAGGTATGAGAAAAAAAAGGTAGTGTTAGGAAATAAATTATCAAATATAATGAAGAAAGTTAGTGTTGTCAAGAATAAAATATATAAGAAGAAATGGTCCTTTACAATATATTTGAAACCATATGAGTTAAAATCAGTGGTGGCACCATCCCCTTTGAAGCTCTTTGGAAACAGCAGGATGTGGGCTTTGGTTGGAGAGAAGCGGAATTTCCTAAAATTCACAGGATAGATCTGTTTCAGGGAGGATAGTGCTCTGGTCGAGGAACACTGTTAAATATGTACTCTGGTAAATAAAGAGATTCTGGAATTCACGTTTTCATCTTACAGTCATTCATTACATTGTATGTCAGGTTTTTCACAGTTGAATCTCACTTCTGAACCTGCTGTTGTGTCCTTGTGAAGGTGTTCACGAAGCCCTGATGTAAGCCAGTTACCAGAAAGTATTCATTGGGAAATAGTGCTTTTGGTTTTTTTTCCCTCAAGAGTACTTTTTAAGTTTCAAGCCTAAATTGTAAAGTAAGGCAAATTTAAAGACAATTTCTTTATAATATATTGTGTCCTTTTTTTCAGATTCTTTATCAAAGAGTGAATTTCCAGATCCATCCAGAAGGAGGGGCGAGCATCAGTGTCTCACCGTTGGTCAGTAAAGCGCTCCAAGAGGTGAGT